TTTAATTTTATTATTTTTAAAAAATACATTTTTATTGATTTCAGAGAGAGGAAGGGAGAGGGAGAGAGAGAAACATCAATGATGAGCGTCATTGATCAGCTGCCTCCTGAACGCCCCCTAAGGGGGATCTAGCCCGCAACCCTGGCATGTGCCCTGACCAGGAATCGAGCCTCAGCTCCTGGATCATAGGTCAATCCCCAACTGCTGAGCCATGCTGGCTGGGCTCTTTTTAATTTTTATTTATTGATTTGAGAGAGACATTGGTTTGTTGTTTCACTTATTGATGCATGTGTGCCCTGACCAGGGATCAAGCCTGTAACCTTGGTGTTTCAGGACGATGCTCTAACCAAATGAGCTACCCAGCCAGGACAGTCACTTCTTTCTATACTTGAGCATGAATGTTCTCTGGAGTGCAGTAATGACAAGCCCTTTTGAATATAGCTTTTCAAAGTGAGAATTTTAGAATAAATTGACATACAGTTACCGTTCTGCAGAGACTTTGTAGTGTAATAAGTTGTCATTCTTGTTCCTTCTTAGTGCTTGTGAAACCGAACACAACCAGAGAATGGATATGGGAAACCAACACCCTTCTATAAGTAGACTCCAGGAAATCCAGAAGGAAGTAAAGAGTATAGAACCACAAGTGATTGGCTTCAGTGGTCTGCCAGATGACAAGAATTACAAGAAACTGGAGAGAATTCTCATGAAACAGCTTTTTGAAATAGACTCTGTCGATACTGAAGGGAAAGGAGATATTCAGCAGGCGAGGAAGAGGGCAGCACAAGAGACAGAGCGCCTTCTCAAAGAGTTGGAGCAGAATGCAAACCATCCCCACCGGATAGAGATAGAGAACATCTTCAGAGAAGCCCAGTCCCTGGTGAGGGAGAAGATCGTGCCGTTTTATAGCGGTGGCAACTGTGTCACCGAGGAGTTTGACGAAGGCATTCAGGATATCATCCTGAGGCTGACCCATGTTAAAACCGGAGGGAAGGTCTCCCTGCGGAAAGCAAGGTACCACACCCTCACCAAGATCTGTGCGGTGCAAGAGATTATCGAGGACTGTGTGAAAAAGCAGCCGTCCCTGCCCCTGTCTGAGGACACGCATCCTTCTGTGGCCAAAATTAACTCTGTGATGTGCGAGGTGAACAAGGCCAGGGGCACTGTGATTGCACTGCTGGTGGGAGTAGCCAACAACGAGACGTGCAGGCACCTGTCCTGTGTGCTCTCGGGCATGATTGCAGACCTGGATGCTCTGGATGTGTGCGGGCGAACGGAGATCCGAAATTATCGGAGGGAGGTGGTGGAAGATATTAACAAATTGCTGAAATATTTGGATTTAGAAGAGGAAGCAGATACTACCTATGCATTTGACCTGGGACAGAATCATTCCATTTTAAAAATAGAAAAGGTCCTCAAGAGAATGCGAGAAATTAAAAACGAGCTCCTGCAAGCACAGAACCCTCCCGAGCTGTACCTGAGCTCCAAGACCGAGCTGCAGGGGCTGATCGGACAGCTGGATGAGGTGAGTCTCGAAAAGAACCCCTGCATCCGGGAGGCCCGGCGGAGGGCGGTGATCGCCGTGCAGACCCTCATCACCCACATCGACCTGAAGGAAGCCCTGGAGAAAAGGAAGTCATTTGTGTGTGAGGAGCACCCGTCCCACCGAGCCGTCTGGACCATCCTGGGACACTTGTCGGAGATCCTGGGAGAAGTTCTGTCGTTCGATGGGAACAGGACTGATAAGAACTACATCCGGCTGGAAGAGATGCTCACCAAGCAGCTGCTGGCCCTGGACGCGGTGGACCCGCAGGGGGAGGAGAAGTGCAAGGCGGCCAGGAAGCAGGCCGTGAAGCTGGCCCAGAACATCCTCAGCTATCTCGACCTCAAGTCGGACGAGTGGGAGTACTGAGGCCTGGGCCCCGCGGTCCACGCTCCTGTTCTGCACTTTACATAGCCGTGTATGTATTTATGGAGAGCTTTCGGTTCCTTGAGCCTGAATGTGATTTATACGTGCATATTTCAGTCTCAGTATTTATGATTTGAGGAAATTATATTCAGTACTTGCTGCTTTTGATATTGCACAACAAGTATCATTACAGCTCACTGACTCTTCCGTTCGGGTCGTTATCTGTATGTTGTGGTGTGTTTGTTTTGTTTTTTTAATCAGAAAATGGAAAAGGGGCAGCTTTTGTCATTTCTAACTGGGTTGTGCAAAACCATGAAAATGCAGATATTTCAGAATCTAGAAAGCAACAGCCTTGCATAATACTAGAGCAGTTGTGAGAAAGGGGAAATTTTGGGTTAAATGGAAGGTCCAAGCACAAAAGCAGTACAGTATGTTTTATGCTAAATAAAGGAAGCCTGGTTGGTCCCACCCAACTTAATTGGGTGTTTTGGGGGTTTTTTCTTTTCTTTTTTTGGATGGTCTGTTCTTTCATAAACTTTAGTTTGAAAAACAGTGTGCCCCCCCCCCCCATTCTCTGCATGGAGAATGGGGAATCTTACCTTCGTGTGACATAAGAAAATTATGAAAATTAATAGCAAAGAAGCCTTTGAGACTGAGCTGGAAAGGGGTAAACATTTCCAAGGTGCTTTGTTTGTAAAACCTGAGCTTACGGTTTTCCTTAGTAATTTGTAAGGATGGGAACATGTCAATGAAGTTAATGGACCTCTAAAAATATAGGAAACACCCATACCTATAGTAGGATGCTGAGGACTGGAGATCAGTTGCCAGTGTCAGGTGTTGCTAACCCTGAGTGGAGGGGTCTGCATGCAGCGTGGGGTGGGCTGCTCCTGTCCCTCATGCTGCACGTGGACGGCTTGTGGGACGTGCCCAGTGCCATCTCACGGTGATGGGCAGAAACTGCGGCCTGCAGCACCAGATCCCTATCGCTTGTCCGAGTAGGTTAGCCCCCGGCCGCTAGCATCTTCCACGTCATGCTCTGGGACCAGGCAGTGAGAGGTGCCCCAGCACCTGCTGTGCCCCTCAGCTCCCATCACTAGGGTGTTTCCATTGCCCGAAAGAGCCAGTCTAGTCTGTCAGGACATGAGTTTTGTTGTTTCTGCTAAAGGGTGTATGTGTTTCTGTAAGTACTCTCAGAACTCCAGGTTGCCTGTCAATGAGCAAAACAAAAAAGTGTCTCCTGAAGTCCTCTGATGCCATGTTGGTCCCAGTGTCGTAACTAACAGGCTGCCCTTTCTGTGTCGCCTTTCACAGAATAGCCAGAGTGTATCTTTTGAACTCTATAGTAATCTGTTATCTTTTATCTGTTATCTTTCAGAGATATTAATGTGGTAATTTTATGTAAAGAGCTAAAAATAAGAGGGGAAGGAATAGCCCTAAAAAATCTAAAAGATGATAAAGCGGAGCCCTAGACACATTCTGACTTTGTCTCAGTATTGCCCAATAATTAAAAGCCCTTGATAGGTTTTTCCTACTAGCAGTATAGGTTCATTCAATTGGAGGGATCAAGGGACAGTCGGGGTTACAGGGGAGTGAGCTCCTCCCATCTGCCCACCCGGCTCCTGGCAGCTGAGGGCTGTCACAGGACAGGCTATCGGTAGCTCCTGTTGGCCAAAGTCATTTGGGGGGTGCTATTCTGGGTCATGATTGTAGGGTCTTCCCAAGCACTCACTGTCTCAGAGCACGTGGGCGTCAGGCTTCCCTCTGATTCACTGACGGCCTGCACAGCTTCCTTTCTAATTTCGGGTCTGGGAGGTAAATGTCCGTGTTTGCGTCTCTTGTTCTGAACACAGCTCTGCCCTGTGGTTCACTTCCCTGCTCTCGTAGGTGTTAGAGCTGGCTCCTGCCAGGCTCTGAGCTGTGGAGTTAGGGTGCTAAACTCGGCCACGCACACTTGGAATTGCTCACCTGGGTCATTTTGGTCATTGAAAAAAACAGACCTTGAGTGATTGTTAAGGTGCACAGTTTCCTTGTTCAATCTGTAATAGTTCCTGGTGCCTGTTTGTCCTCCCTCCGCAATGAGCCCAGCGACGCTGGATTTAGCTTTTCCCATCCCTCCAGGGGAGCCGTCTGTGCTAATGGGCTGCTGCGTGTGATCTTTCCATTGGGCTCATCCGGTTGTGTTGTACTTTTATGATCTGACATGAAGAGAATCTGTACTGGAAGTAAAACCTACCCGCTACAAATGTCTGGCTTTGGGTCTGCATTAAACGGTGTAATCCATGTTCATGCAAAACACAGCTGGGATGTCTGCTTTCTTTACCTGCCTCCACCAGCCCAGAGAGACAGTCAGCCCAGAGTAGTTGTGAAAACAAAGTTCCCTGGGTGGCTCAGTGGCTGAGCATTGTCCCCTGCTCCAGAAGGTCACTGGTTCGATTCCTGGTCAGGGCACATGCCCAGGTTTCTGGCTCAATTGATGTTTCTCTCTCTCTCTCTCTCCCTCTCTCTCTCTTTCTCCCTTCCTCTCTCAAAAAAAAAAAAATTTTTTTTTAAAAAATAAACGAATCAACATGTCAACCAAGCACAGTTCAATGCTTCCTTTTCCTAAAACCCCAGGTGTATATATTTGATACAATGTAGCATGTTTGAGAAGGTGAACTTGGCCACTTCAATTTTTCTCAGTTGTTTTACTTTGCCAATTTTCATCTGGTGTTCGAGAGTCTAAGCTTATACTGTACATGTAGTTATTTTAACTAAAGCTTTTCAGCTTTAACTCATCTGGTACTTACAATAATTGGAGAGATAATTACCATTGATTTTGATGTATGATACAGGTGTGCTGTTCAGTGTGCTGGTTCCTGTCCCCTCTCTATTGACTGTATGACTATTGTAACAGCATGTCTTCAATATTCAGGATTATTTTGAGATACGCATATTAGCATAACCTTAATTGTTAATGAAATAAACTCTTAGCTTATCTTTGCAGCAGAGACAGGGTGTGAGTCTGAGGTGTGAGTTCTGTTCTCCTGTTTTCACCTGCATTAACTGAATTGGGTGGGCCAGGTACAGGGAAGGGGGCCTCCTCAGCTCCAGGCATTGGCAGTGGTCTCAGGAGGTGGCAGCACTGAGCATAGACCAGGGTCCAGTCACAGGTGAAGGGGTGACGTTCCCATTTAAACAACCCAAAGAAGGGCTGCTACGCCTGAGGGCAGTGTGGTCTCATCCACACTTCCCCGAGGACGCCCACAGAAGAGGGGAGCATCTCTGGCCCCTTAGTCCTTCCAGTGTTTCCAAAATGCTCCCACTGCGGGCTTCCTGAGCCCTCCCCTGTTCTCCCTGCAGTGAGGACCCGCACGTTCACTGGGCAATTGTCTCTGTTGAAACCTCATCACAACAGCAGTGACATTTTTCTGGTCCTAGCATTTCCTACACGTACTTCTCTGTGGTCTGGCTGCCTGCTGTCTTCCAGGGGATCAAAGAGAGAAGTGGAGTGCCTCCTCGACCAAGCAAACTCGTAGGCGCAGGAGTGGGAAGAGCCAAGTTGGCCCGGCTGGTGCGGCTCAGCGGTTGAGCATCGACCTGTAATCCAGGAGATCGAGGATCGATTCCCAGTCAGGGCACGTGCCGGGGTTGCGGGCTCGAATCCCCAGCAGGGGGTGTGCAGGAGGCAGCCGATCAATGACTCATCATTGATTTTTCTCTTCCTCTCAAGCCAATAAAATATATTTAAAAATAAAAAATTTTTTAAAAAGCTAGTTGGACAGGTTAAAAAGAAATATTTCTGGGGAATTTGGCCAGTTCTATTATGTCCCAGCCGCAGACATGCACTGTACCACGTTAGGCTTCACTTACGCCGCACACTGAGCAGGCTCCCATGGGGCTGTGCTGGTTGTGGGGGAAGCGGTGGGCACCTGGGGAGGCAGAACTGCATCCTGGACCAGAGGCTCCCAGAACACAGAGCCAGGTACTCATGGCCCTCTGGGATTAAGCATTTCTGGGGGAGCCCCCTACCCCAGGCCCAGCCTACAGCAGCTCCACCAAACCTGGCCTGGTGACTGGCCATGAATGTCTGCCCAGGTGCGAGGCCTGTACCCTGGCAGGCTCCAGAGAGTACCCCAGGGGTCCCTCCAGGTGAGATCCCAAGAGGCTTGTCTGAGCCCCACTGCGCTGGGGTCCCTGCCAGGCCAGGTGGAGAGGGAGGACCCTAAACAGACGTTCCCCACCACCTGGCCCTTCGCCCAGCAACGTCTGCACCCTGCACCGCAGCACCTTGAAGTGTCCTGAGCGGGTCATTCACCTTCTCGCCGGGCCCCAGCCCCCTGCTGGGTTCCCCTGCGGCCGCCAGGAGGCGCCCGCGGCCCAGCTTCGCGGAGCCCAGGACTCCCGGGTGGAGGGAGCGGCCGGGAGGGGGCGGGGTCGGCCTGCGAGCAGCTGTCCCACCTGGGCCGCTTGCCCGGCGCACCTGCCCTTGCCCCGGTGGACAGGTGGCCGCGGCGCCGGGCTGCGGCTTCTGCCCCTGAGCGGTGCGTGGGGCTGGTGCTGGGCTTTGTCCTGCCGCCGCCACGCACCACAGGAGTCCCCACGGAGCCCTGTGGGCCTCGCAGCTTCTGACTCGCCCCTCTCTGAGCTGGGCACCGAGTAGGACCTTCTCAGGCCCTGGCCAGCTCACCCACAAACATCTCCCTGCAGCCTGGTCCCTCCCTCCTGGGTAATTCAGCTCAGCCTTCAGGCCCACGCCAATTGCCCCTTACTGCAAACGCTGCCCCCAGCCACCAGCTCTGCGCGGCTCCGCCACTGGACAGACACCTGCCCCGACAGCTGGGCTGGAGAAAAGGAAGATCCACAGCAGGTGGGCGAGCCTGAGCGCCCGGGTTCAGGAAGGCTGCTATGGGCAGTGGGAAGGAGGGCTGGGCCTCCCCTGCTGCTCCTGGGGCTCGAGGAGCCCTGTCAGGCCCACCCCAGGGTCCCCACGCTGCACTGTGGGCTCTGCAGCACCAGGACAGCTCAGGCGACAGTGCACCTTACCCAGGTAAGGAAGCCTCTGGAGGCTGGCCTGGTGCTGCCCACGGCGGCCAGGAGGGAGTTGCCCTTTCCCATGCCCCTCCTGCTACTCAGGAACCAGCACCTGCACAGACCTGGGTGGGCTTGGGGAGCCCTGGCCAGCCCTGTGTTGTACACGGAGAGGTTGTGACAGAGGATCAAGGGGCCCAGCTGTGGCTCTCATAGGGGACCCTCCCTCCAGGCCCCTCCCCAGGGAATGCATGGCACTGCCCCTCCCCCACCTGCCCTAAGTGGAGTCCCTGTTCAGGGATCCTGGCCAGGGTCAGCTCCCTCCCTGATGCCCAGACTCTACCCTTTGACATCAATTGAGGACAGGAGTCAGGATGGGCCTCCCAGGGCCCCAGGCCCCAGGGCAGCTGCCCACCAGTGCACCTGGGCCACTGCCTGTGAAGTGGACAGTGACACCCACTTTGCCATGGGGTTGAGAGTCCGAGGTGCAAGCGAGGCCCTGGGGGACAGCAGCAGCCACCTCATGAGAGTCAGTGGGTCCCACACCTCCCAGAGGAGGCCCCTCATGTCTTCTCTTTAGGCCAGTGTGTCCCCTAAATTCCAGGCCAACAGAGAAGCCGCCCCTTCTCCCCAGTCAGCACGCAGATGAAGCTAGGTGGGTCTCTTGCCAAGGCCTCTGAGGCCTGGCTTCAGGCTGCACAGCCTCTCGGAGCCTAGCTGGGTCTTGGAGCCGAAGCTCAGCTCTGCACTGCAGCCTCCCCTCCAGCGGCCTCTCCCTCCTCGGCCCTGCCTGGGGGTGACCACAAAGCCCTTGGGGACTTGAAATACAGTGGCTCCTGCAGCTACACCCAGCACATTGTATGGCTGTGCATGTATGCTGTGTGCTGTGTGCATACATGTGTGTTCAGTGTACATGTGTGAACGCATGTGTGTGCTATGTGCATATGAGTGCTGTGTCCATGTGTTGTGTACACTGCATGTGTGTGGGTGCATGTGTGTGCTTTGTGCATGTGACAATGTGGGACACACATGCTCTGCCGTGGCACCCTACTAGCCTGTGGATGGGCCGGGGGCCAGGGTGGAAGAAGGCTGGGAGACTGGGGCTGGGGCTGGGCAGGGCTGGGGAGGGAGCCCGGCCCCTGCTGAGGTGCCCTGGGAAGGAGGCCCAGAAGGAAGCCTGCAGAGCAGCGGTGGTGGGGGCCATGGCAACGCCACACAAAGCACTGGCCTACTTACTCCCGCCCCCGCGCCCCACTGGCTGCCTGCTGGGGAGGATGCCAGCCTTCGCACTTCTCGAGGCCCCTTGCCCCAAGCTCTGGGGCTCAGCTCAGTGCCCTGGGAGCCCGTGGCCTCCTCTTCAACTCCCCTAACTGTGGGTGCTGGGCCAGGCCTTTAGAGACTGTCCTCTCCCATAAATGGGGGTGGGGTGCAGAAATGTCTGGCACCCAGCAGGTGGGCGCTCCGCCAGGCGAGTTCCCTCCCTGTCCTCTGGTGGCTGTGGACCCAGCGGTTGTGAAAGGGCCGGAAATCTTGGAGCTCTCTGTGCTGCTTGGGTGACTGCAAGCCTCAGAAATCTCTGTGACCCTGACCAAAGGCCTCACTCAGACCAGAGCCCCCAAGTCAGGAAAGGGTCTGGTGGGAGGGGGTGACCAGGAGTACTGAACAGAGCCCGAGTGCCTGCATGAAACAGGGCCCACGGCAGAGGGTGCCCTCAACACGCTGACACCCTCTCAGCCTCTGTCATCAGCCTGGCCAGGGGAGGGGAGGGCTGTCACTCTTTGAAGGAGGCCCTGGGCCTGACACTAAGCCCTGCTGACTGCACCAGCTTACCTGTGCCTGCTTCCTGGGCCTGTCCTGACCTCCAGAGCCAGCTCTGAGCTCGCTGCCTCCTCCTGCAGGAAGGCTGCCTGGCCTAGACCCAGGTACTCTCACAGCTGTGGGCATGGGGACAAATGTCTCCAGTGCCTAGGGAAGGCTGAGCAAGCCACCAGAGGAGAAATGGGGCATACACGTGTGTTCAGTGTACATGTGTGAATGCACATGTGTGCTATGTGCATATGAGTGCTGTGTGCCTGCCCAAAGGATTCCGAGTGACCTGTGAGGCCCATGAGGCCCTGCTGCCATTGGCCACTCTGGGCTACCCCGCTGGCAGTGTCTCACTCAGGGGTCATCTCGGGTGCAGGTGGCTCCCTGAGGAGGGAGGGCTGAGGGCCAGCAAGGCTGTGAGGAGGCTTTGTGGAGCACCCAGGCCCTGGGGACAGGACGCCCTTGGGGTGGATGTCACCTGA